TCATTGCAATTGATGCAATCTTGGTAAATTCCAGGGCATCTTTCCCCCTCCCTGGAATTCTGTAGCATCATTGTATCATCAGGCGCGAGTCAGATTAGCCTTGTGTACACGAGGAAGATGAGCGAATGACTGTAAATGTTCAAGGTAGTGTGCGTGCTTCAACGCCTGCCAATTTCCGATAATCAAATGTTGAATATTCAAAATGTTTCTTTTCCTTCCTCATCTGCAACAGTTGTAATGTCTTGATATCTTGTAATTATATATTAATATTAATATTATTAACGATTACAAAAAGCAAAATATTATCATCTTGATGAAAATCTTGTAATTATCCAGCAAGATCTGCTCTGCGTTTTGATTCCAATTAAAATATTTTATCAATACAAATAAAAAAAAGTACCTCTGGTTAGTTATTAACACGCTTTCTTTAGGAGACTCAAACCAAACCAAGCCAAGCCAAACAACAACACTCGTTTTGTCACCTTGGACTCTGTCAAAAAATATATTGTTTTTCCAAAAAAAAAAAAAAAAAATCAATTCGCGTCTGTCCTACCAAAAAAAAAACCAATCACATAAATAATTAATGTGTACACGTCGATCAAAACAAACTTCTTTCAAAAAAAAATAAAAAATGTCTTCAGAAGCAAGACAAAAAAGAAGAAAAACCAGCGAATTTGGTGCAAATAAAGGGTAAGTGTTTTAAGGATGGTGGTGGTGGTTATCGCCACTTGCCATCACTTGTCGTCACTCTAGTTTATCATAAGAATGGTTGCATGGAATTCTAATTTTAAAAAAAAAAACAATTAGAATCAAGAATCCGATAAAAAGACAAAAAGGAAGTAATAAAGAACAAAAAGAGTAAGTATTATTAGATATCATTTTTAAAAGAATGGTGGTGGTTGTGATTGTCACGATATATAATATTTTTTTTAACGTGTTGTTGATTATTATCATTATTTTTTGACACTCTTCATCTAAGAAGAGAAGGTGGCACTCATTTAGATGAATACGAGGTAATAATAGTGATAAATAATATTTAATATAATTTTTAACAGTAACATAATTATAATTATACAAATTAAAATATATATTAATAGTGCCAATTTAAATTATATAATTAATTAGCTTAAAGAAGAAAATTTGTGCAATTTAGTTAATGAAGATGAATATCAAATTAAAAGAGATGAAAATGATTTTATTATTGATGATGGTAGGAATGCATCTGTAGATGATGAAATCAACAAGGAAACTGACGATTCTCAATATGATAAAACAAAAAAAAATGATGATGATGATAAGGTAAAAACATTAAGCTTATTGAAAACACCAATACATGTGGCTGTTGCAACTGAACAAAAACTTGTCACAGTAATAACTATCCTTTCAGATCATGTTATTACTATTGTTATCTGATAAATAATTTGATTTTTGCAAATTAATTTTTAAATAGGATAAGTCAACTGAAGATGAATCAAGTTTTATATCACAATTATTTAATGATAATTACATAGAAAATCTATCTGGTTTTATGAGCAGGTTCCCATATGACATAATTATACTGATCTTCAGATATTTTGAACCAAAAGTTCTTCTATGCAAGTTGCAATTGGTTTCTAAAAAATGGAGAGAAATAATTATTAATTCAGATTGCTTATGGATAAATTTTTTATCAGAAGATGGTGTTGATCTAAACAATATACATAGAAATTTATCTATTTCACCTTCATCAAATCATTTATATAGTGATATATATCACAAATATTGTATCTTGAAAAAAAACTGGATTTGTGGTAATTACAAAGAAACCTCCATAAAAGGCAAATTCGATAATTATCCTCTGGGTCTTCAAATGGATGGAGAAAAAATAATCATAAATTCTGCTTTTAATGATATAAATATTTATGAAATTGCAACAGGAAGATTAATTAAAACACTTGGTCTTAGTAAAACAATTAATTCATTACAATTTATTGACAACACATTGGTTTCTAATTGTGTTGATGACCAAATGATTCGTGTATGGGATATATTGGAGGGTATTTGTACTCATATATTCATAGCTCATACAAAGCCAATTAGCTGCTTCCAAATAGTGACACCACAAAATATAAATCCAGATCCACAAGGACCTCCTATTATAGAACCAGATGCTACTTTACTTGTCACAGGTTCACAAGACACAACATTGAAAGTATGGCGTTTACCTAACCCTGTGATTGATCCTCCACATGTGCTTGGCATGTCAGTACCATCAGTACCATCAACACTAACACCATCAACACCATCAACACCATCAACACCATCAACACCATCAACACCATCAACACCATCAACACCATCAATGTCATCACAATCTGATAATGCTGAACCAAGTGATAATAATAATCCATTTTACCTCCATACTCTTCAAGGTCACCAAGGCTCAATTTGTGTTTTGGCAGCATCAGGGAATAATTTAGTTAGTAGCAGTCATGATTACAGCATTAGAGCCTGGAATATAGTAACTGGTGAAAATATTTGGTGTGCACAAGGACATACAGAAGAAGTTTATTCCATTGTATTAGACATTAGGAGGAAAATATGTATCAGTAGAAGTGTGGATGGAATCATAAAATCTTGGAATCTTGAAGATGGCACCAATATCTGGACATCAGGAGGATCTTTGTGCCTTGATCCTCATATTATTAAACTTTATCCCTTGAGTCTTTCCAATGATAATCTTCTTTCAATTTTTTCAATTAGTGGACTTGACATATTGGACCTTAAGAATGGATCTTCTTCTAGACATGTGTTACCAACAGATGATACTATAAGTATGGGTCCAATAAGATCCTTCCATATTGACTCATGGAAAATCTTATTGGGGTCAAATATATTACAAATGTGTGATATAGGATCACTGAAGAAGATAAATAATTTAAGTGCAGGAACATTTGGGATATGGTATTATTGTCAATTATAACTAAATAATATATGATTTATCTCTTTAATAATTAAAATCTATATTAACTATATACATGTGTGTGTTTTATGTATTATAGGGGGGTAACTTCTAACTACCGCTACTGTGTAATGATAGAACAAAGGAAAGATGATAGTTTCTGGCTGAAAATCATGGACTTTTACTGTATTTAATTTTATGTTAGATGGTATTAAGTAATTGGTTATATTATAATAATTTGTGATAGTTAAAAAATTTTTTTTCAAAAGATCTGTTGTTGTAATTGATATCTTTATATATTTTTTTTTATTCATCATATTTTTGATATTCTCATTTTGAATTTTCCATTTGTTTTTTTAAAATTTGATGACATGATAATGAGTGATTCAATTCAAGTAATTTTTATTATGGTTTAAAATTTTATTTTAATTGAACAAAAGTTATGTATATAATCAATATCACAGTAAGCATAATAACAATTTGAAATATAATCAAAATAACAAATTGCAAGTAATAAAAAATAATTATAATAATAAAAATATAATAAAAACATTAACAAAGGTACCTAAAATCATGACAATTTCAGAAAGCTCCATGCAGATTTACTGTTGTCAACCTATAAACTTCACTTCTTGTTCATCTCTGCAACTGAACTTGATGGACTTGATGGGAAAGAACTTTCAGTATATAAAGCACCCAAAGAATGTTTATGCAAAGTTTCACGCATATTTGTTTGTGGAATTTTTATGTATTAATGAGTATTTTAAAGTACTTTTTTAATTAATTTTGTTAGTTGCACAATATAAATATGATCATCACTTTATGTCACATTTAGTGTTAAAATCGAAAATCCACTATGCTCATGCTCATGGGAGATCATCACAAAATTTAGCCAATGAAATCAAATGTCCACTATGCTTTGTGGCATGCACTATAACATATAGTTTTCACCTCCAAGTTGGAGATCCAATTGAAGTCCAGTTTATCACCTACTTTTTATTACAAAAACATTCACTGTAATTTATGTTTTGTTGGTTATCATTTCTTAATGACCAGCAACCAATTTCCACTATGCTCTCACTGAAATAGACTATATATATGGGAGTTCTCCAGCAAAAGGTACCTCTTGGTTTAACAGATAGTTTGGGCAATTAGGGAATTTTTTCCAAAAATCCATCAAACCAAGAAATGCACTATATCAAGAAGGTTTTTATTAAGGTTTATTATGGAACCATTCTTGAACTTTTATCCGTAAAACTGAGATTTTTAATTATTATCTGGCTAAATCGTGATTCACTGTGTATTAAACTTTTTTAACTAACAACCCTGCAAAAATATGTTGCACATATAAATTAAAAATTTCAAGGCTTGTTGTCTCATTTTTTTACTAAATAAACAGATACTGATTTTTTCAGCAGTTATAGTTCTTATAATATAAATATATATAATGCAAAAAACTCAATTTGGTCAGAGGGCACTTAAGGTGCCTTTTGCTGGAGAACCCCCATATTGTCTTAGCCAAGTGATGTGTTTTCTTTGCTCTTTGCGACGAAGGAGATGCAACCCAAACCCAATTTAAAAAATAAATGAATTTTTGATCTTGTGTAGTGTGGCATGCGTGATTGTATAATAGGCAAAAGACAAAAACTCGCCTTGCGTTCTCAGTTGTAAGCTTGTTTATATTAATAAAATTCAAATTTTTGTGCAAAGGTATCAATGCTAAAAAGGTTAAAATTTTCAAATTGCTTTCAGAACCAATAATTTTTAAAATAATCTCGATGATAATGATAAAGCTTCACTTTTTATTTTACTATACAAGAACTTTATCTCAATTTTAGAATAATGGTTAGAATAGTATGTATAAAATAAAGACAGGTTTATAGAAAATCATATGTTTTGGGAGTTTTTTAGGAAAACCAAGTTCTGAGATCCTCTGACCAAAATTGAGTTTTTATAACAAGAGGATTGGTGAAAATTTTATAGACCTTGGTAAAAAAACATATTTCGCAGAGAACGTCACTCAAAAAATTTTATTTGATAAATCATAACAAAACGTTATTTAAATCCAAGATGTCCATCCTTCATACATCACACATAAATTATCAATGTCCATTGCCTGTTTTATAATTATATCAACCTATGATTTTGATAATAAGAGTGTAATTTTCTCATAAATTCCAAAACCACATTAAAATATGATTTAACAAATTGATATCAAAAAGAATTCACAAACCTGGTCAGAAACAGTCATTTTAGTGGCAGAATCAAAATCTTTTCCCTCGAGTTTTGATTTTATTCTTCTAATTACACTTACAGCGAATGTATTTCGTACTTTCGATAAAAATATTTATAGAATTTTGTTGAGTTTATAAATTTATAATTATTAACAAAGTGGGATACAAATACATATACACACCTGCGCCAATATTTTTACCACTTTGAATTTGTTGAAATGGATTATCCCAACCTTCTACATCTTCTTCAATTATGCCAAGTCCTGAAGAAGTTCTCTTTCCAGCTATCTCTTTTGAAGATTCCAGATGCCCTGCGTTAAATATTTGATTATTGCTTTTCATTATCAAGGGATTATTATTATTGTCATTATAATCATTATTATTATTATTATCCACTTGATCATTTTCATTTGATTGTGAATTATCAGATTCTCCTTGGTGCCAATCTACTAAAGGATCATAAACAAACGCTTCGAGAAGTATAAGCAACATTTCTTTATTTTTTCTCATAACTCTAAGTACATTTTCACATGCAATTCTAAAAACTCCATCAACACCGGTAACACCAAGTGCCGCCACAATATTTTGAGTAAGACGGAAAGGAACCATTTCCGGGATTCTTAATTTTCTTCCCTTCTCAAAGCATACATTATAATCAATGTGAATAACTTCACCAGCATCAAAATCAATCAGAATATTATCAAGATGACGATCTCCAAGACCAATTATATAACCTATAACTGACATTACTGCAAGAGAGCGAGACATGGACAAACTTTTATACCACCATTCCGCTGAACTCGTACATGATGACCAAATTTCTTTCTCCAATAAATCTGAAGGAGTTTCAGCAACTAATTCTAAGAATATTGATTTGAGAACGGAATGCGGCCAATTGCGTCTTGATGTCGAAATTGGAAATCCTTCCTTCTTTAAACCTTTGCTGATCTTTTCAAAAAAAATGTCACTAGGTCTTTGTGGATTCTCAACTGAATCTTCGTTATTGCTATTTTGTAAGACTTTAGCAAAATGTTCTCGATGCTGCCATCTCTTGTAAAGTACAAACATTTGTGTAGCATTTTCAACCAATTGGATCATTCCTGAATGATCACCTAAAGGAATGACAGCATAATGTCTTGCATTTAAATGACGATTACAGGATTGTTTGTCGCGTAAAAATAATCCATTAGTAATTTGTAGTAATTGCATCATTCTCTCATCAAGATGAAGATCCTCGAGTCCTTTGAAAAGATAACCGTACTGACGACCGTCAGAACCATAAAGATTCAATTTTTTGGGTTTAGTCTTAGTTGGCAGTATAATAATATTCTCATCAAATGATTGAATCGTTACATGATCAGAATAAGTTGGTAATCCTGGCATGTCAATAAGGGAAGAATTAATCGTGCTTAAAAATGGACTAACTTCTGCCAATTTTAAAGTTCGGCTTGTTTGCAATTCTTTCGATAAATCCTTATGAATCTAAAATAAAATAGAATTTAATTAAATAAACTAAACTCGTATATATATAATATGAATGAATACAAACACTTCTAAAAAAGTTCCATCCATCTTTAATTGTATCCCATGACATTGGTGTACGTAATTTTTCGAATGCCTTGTGAATACGAATGCCATAACTTTCACAAAACCACTTTTCATGAGGGGTTGAAGCAACTACGATTGTTGAATTGTATAGTCGTTCAATGGCAACAATAACAGGCTTCATGGTTACATCATAACTTTCTTTCATAAACTTGATTTTTTGATCTGATGTCAGACTCAAATTATCGTTGATTCTTTCAAATTCATTCTCAATTTTATGCAATCGCTTATTCACATCCAATTGTAAACCACTGATTTTGTTATGCCAAAGTTCCTCCCATAAAACCGTTATTTGCTTAAGTTCTTTGATAACACGCTGAATTTGAGCAAACAATAAACCATTAGTCTTGTCTAAACTTTCTGCGATCTTTTTCAATAATTGTTTATTCAGGTCACTTGTGCCACTAAACTCGTATATATATAATATGAATGAATACAAACACTTCTAAAAAAGTTCCATCCATCTTTAATTGTATCCCATGACATTGGTGTACGTAATTTTTCGAATGCCTTGTGAATACGAATGCCATAACTTTCACAAAACCACTTTTCATGAGGGGTTGAAGCAACTACGATTGTTGAATTGTATAGTCGTTCAATGGCAACAATAACAGGCTTCATGGTTACATCATAACTTTCTTTCATAAACTTGATTTTTTGATCTGATGTCAGACTCAAATTATCGTTGATTCTTTCAAATTCATTCTCAATTTTATGCAATCGCTTATTCACATCCAATTGTAAACCACTGATTTTGTTATGCCAAAGTTCCTCCCATAAAACCGTTATTTGCTTAAGTTCTTTGATAACACGCTGAATTTGAGCAAACAATAAACCATTAGTCTTGTCTAAACTTTCTGCGATCTTTTTCAATAATTGTTTATTCAGGTCACTTGTGCCACTAGATGAAAAAGCAACAATCGTGTGATAAACGACAAGTTGAGGTGAATTTGCTGCAATTGTGCAAAGTAATTTGCAGAGTTGTTGTTGAACAAAAACATTTGGATGATCTAATCTTGAAAATAATTGGGGAATAATGTTTTCCCAAACTTTAATACTTGTGTTATTAAATCCTTTAACAAATTGCGTCTCTAAATAACCACCATGTTTTACTAACAATCTTAAAAGTCTAAGTGTTGCTGTAGTAATATCTGATTTTTTATTACGATTATCCTTAATAAAATGAAAATAATCAATAATCAATGACCAATAATCTGGACTAGTTTTATTATTGGAGAAAAGATATTGTCTTTTTTACCTCATTATTGAAATTGGTGTCAAAAACTCTTTTATTATCAGCTAATTGCAAATATTTAAAATAACCTTCAACTGCGTTTTTATAAAATGTGATAAGATCTTGGTGTAAATTACCAAGTATTATCATGATACTAGTGATAGATTCATCGGAGATTTCTGGCAATATTTCTAAAAGTTCTGAACCAGTACCAGCATTACCATCACCAGTGACAAAATTATCATCAAATTTAGATTGTGATCCGAATTTTTTAAAGAAAAATCGGAATATACTCTATACAAAAAAAAAAAAAGATGATAATTGTCAATTCTTGTTATCATATCATTAAGATAAAAAATCATATTTTTTGCTTTTTTTTTAAAAAAATACCTTAAATATTATACTCCAATCTAAATTATTATTGTTTTCTTGTTTTAACAGCAACAAGTCTTCATTTATGATTTTTTTAATTTCATTACAAACAACTTCTAGTAAATTCACAGTAACTTTCCCATTCCCTAAATCATCCAAAATTTGTCTTCCATGTTGATAATTATAAGTAGAATAAGCAAACCATGCTTTATCGAATGAACTTTCATAATTAATAGCTGATGACAAACACGATTCAATTATGCCTCTCTTCTTCAAATCTTTAAGAGTCTCATTATCTAATAATGATCTATTATAATATTCAGTATAATCATGATCATAATTATTATTAGTAACAGCAGTATTTTTAATTGTTGGTTCAGTCAGTAAAAAATTCATTTCGGATAAAATTTCCTCGCCAACTTGTAATCCAGAAATTTGTAACCATTTTGAAAGTTTCAAGTATACTTTTTGACAAAATACGATACTGTCTGATATTAAATTTAATGATTCCATTTTATTTTTTTGGCGTAGTATAGTGCATAAATGGCGAATTGCTTCTTGTTGATTGCCCATAGCAAATGATATTTTAGCAATTTCAAACTTTACTTCAACAGGTCTTTCATGTTTCCAATGTTCTAATAAAGAATTAGAAAATTTAAATGCAGAGCTTTTCCTTGCTACTTTTGCCGTCATAAGATTGAAGATTGCTACATTCCTTTCTAGATCAGCATTATTGATGGATTGCAACGAGCCATTTTGTTTAAGATGACGACTAACTGCTTTATTAAGCGTTGACCAAATTTCTAAATCTCCAGAAAATGAAGTACTAAAAGAAGAAAATTGACAAAAGTTAACGTAGTCAAGAAACTCTATTAAATACTTCTCGTTATCTTTTATTTCACAGTTTGTTTTAGCCAATAATGAGATGGAATTGATAAACAATGTGTTGGCTTCAACCGAATACTTTGATAATTTTTCCAAAACTGAAGATATTGATAAATTATCATTATTAAAATCCTCCGGTGAACTGTCAACAATTTTAGCTAGACTTCTCCGAAATTCAGACATATTTGTTATGAATTCTGGTCCAAAATATATCGAATCATGATTATTATGATACTTTGGTTGTTCATTTTCGATCAAATTCCATGCGGGAAGATAGTTTCCACTGTTATAATCCGCCAATGCCTCTAAATATCGTTTATTGCTTTCTGTCAAAGACTCCATTGTAATTTCCCAAATGTCATTTTGATCCAACCATTCACCAAGAGATGAAAAGTCATCCATCTTACAATAACTGTTGATGATCTTTTACGATTATATAAATATATAAAATATTAAAAAATTAAAATAGAAATTATTACTATTACTACTATTACTACTATTACTTACTTGGGATGTGAGAAACCTAAGTTGAGGCATAGTTACTTGCATCTCGGGATCTATTTCAAGAAGACAATTTAAAGATTCAATGCTCTGTTTAACAGAAAGTTCATAGTTTGCTTCTGCAAATGAGCATGAACCATCTGCCCAATAAAAATGGGCAAGAGCAGGAACAGTTTTATTGTTTGGTTTACGCTGAAGTAATACAACTATTATAATAATAATTGATTGATTGATTAGTCGGGTGTTTTTATCAAAGATAAATAAGAATATTATTAGTGTCAAATCAACATACGAGAAGCAGTTGATGGTTGTAAAGTTGAATTGTCATGATTTTTTTCTTCGAGAGATGACTCATTGATCATTGATGAAATTCCTGAATCGGGATTTTCAAAGTTCAAAAGGATACGTTGACTCCATGCTAATAAGCCAGCAATGCTATCAGGTTCATGTATTTTTTGAAGGCTTTGAACTAAATAAAATATTACATGAAATAATAATATAAAATTATAAATGAAATATGTATAAATTACAATTATTTTATTAGCATAAATAAATTAAAATTTACCAATATTCATAAGTGTTTCTTGAAATTCCATCAGTAACTCCATTCTATTGACAGTCGCTTCGCCTTTTAATATATTGATTTGATTCAAAAGAGACTAATAACAATAATAGCAACAAATTAAATATACAATCAAACAATCAAAAATCTCACTATTCATATACCTGATAGCCATGTTTTAAAGCCATAGCATCATCTCCAACAATTTTAGCCCCTTTTATAATTCCAGTTCTGACACGAGAAAACCATTCATCACAAACTTTACGATTTGTACGAAAAAATATAATACTTGCACGGGGTGCCTGTGGTAATCTTCCCAGTGCTGTTCCAACAGCTGCATTATATATTTGTAATTCTAACCGATCAATCAAATTTAAAAAATCATGTAATTGATAAATTCTACTGAATCTAAAAAAGATTAAGATTTCTTATTAATTAGCAATTTCAAATAATAAATATACGACGAAAAAAATCAACTCACCTATCATGTATATTGGGATCAGTGTTAGAATTATCAAAGATAGAATTAAAATCCTCTTCCAAAAATTCATTTAATTTTTTTTCAATTGCGTCAAATGTCTTTGAAATAAAAATATATATTGAATATATCAATCAAAAAGAAACAAAAGAAACATTCACATATTTTGAATAAATTTAATATTACTTGTTTTGGTCCACCAAAAGGTGTTCTTAATCGAGAAAGCACACAATAACGAGAAACTTCCCATAATATCCAAAAAGTAAGTAACTCATTGGAATTTGCAATTGCTGCCATGACATCAGTATGTGAATATTCTAATAAAGAAAAATGGTGCTTGTGTAAATAACTAATTTTTCATTTATTTTTTAAAATGATTCTTATTTTATTTACCAAATTTGAAATCATCATTTTCTTCTACAATTATTCCTTTCTCAAAATTTTCAATTGTCTGACAAGATTGAAATAATCTCGTTTTCCATGAACCTTTTGAACCAATATCATAATTGTTGATGTCAAATTCCTCTTGACTTGTTAATAAATCCTTCATTCCAAAGTATGTCATAACTATCTGAAAATGAGGTGGCCTGAAAATTCCTTGATGATTCGTAGAAGCAATATTCGACTACATTTAATATTTAATAATTTAAGTTGTTGAAAAAAAAACGATTAATTTGTACTATTCATTGCAAAAATAAAATAATCATGATAATAATTGTTATTTATTCACCTTGAAAGTCAGTATAAACTTATCTAAAACAGGTTCGAATTTTAAGGTTGCAAAAAATGGATTTATAAAAAATAATATTTTTGAAAACTCATTTTGTACATTAATGTCAGAGTCATTGACTCTACAATAATGAATATAAATTTGTATAAATTTATATAGAAATATATAAATGTAAATAACTATATGTAAAAATTGAAAAATTGAAATACCTATTTGCTATCTTAAAAAAAATTCTTTGATGCGATTGTATGAATCCAAACACATCAAAAAAATTTTGAATTATTTTTGGAACTTGTAATTTTATTTCATGATTTTTCACAATGTCTAAAAAAATAGAGAAAATTAGAAATATTTCATATCTTTAATTAATAATAATAGTAATATTCAATTAATTATAAAAAATCAAACCTACTGGTCATAATCACAAGTGTAAAAAAAATTGGTTCTAATTTACTTTGTATTTGGAATTTTATATCTAAAGAATGAAATTGATAAGATCGAGAAAACGTCAAGACATCTTGAAACCAAGTTAACACCAAAGACAAAGCATTCGATGATAATTCATTTGGGCATTGTAAGAATGAATTAACAATTGAAGCCATAGTTATGAAACCAGATGACAATTTATTATTATGATTTATTTCTTCATTAATAAAATAATTTTGCCTGAAATAAATATTAGATATTAGATATAATATAGATATAATAAATTATATTAACCAATAATAATTTACCGTTTGCATGTGATATTTAGACATCTAATAATTGAATTTAGTAATATAACATCAAAAAACCCATGTTCGCCAATCTTTTCTAATACTAAATAAATCATCCAAAACACTTCATTATTATGATCTTGTGCACAAGTAATCTCAGAAAGTATCTCAATATCAAATAAAATTATCATTGTGGCAACTCTGTTGTCTATTATATGATCTTTTATTATGTAATCATTTTTATTCAAGAGAAACCTTAAACTATCAAGATATTGGATAAGAGATTTGTCATTATCATTTTGAAGTTCCTTTGATCTCATGAGTTTTGCCCAATTTGAAACTTTTGGTGCATGTTTCTTAGAATCATGTAATAAAATGTTTAACATGCTTCCTATCTCTACATATAATTGATTGACTAGATAATTTTCTTTCTGCTTAAGATGAAAGTCAATATTCACTGCATTATGAAAAAGAGTATGAATAATATCAAAAATATCGGCATGTATTTGTGTTCTGTGTGATAAAAAATAGCGAAGTTTCATTAATGACGATTCAGGATCTGCCAAAATCAAGATAACTTCTAAATGAATATATGGTGTCCATAGTGTTAAAACCTGTCATTAAAAGTCCAAAAAAAAAATGATTGGAATTTTTATTAAGTTTCTTCCTATAATATACCTTTATATATAAATATATTTAAAAAAAATTAACCTGAAGAAAGCTATCAAACCAATCATCTAAACACTGTAATGACAATTCTTTTTTTGAATCAAATTTTATTTGTAGCAAAAAAAACTTTGTGCATAAAACTTGAAGTTTAATGAATGTTGGCTTTCTAATTGTACTGAGAGATAGAATAATTTGATTTCCTATATAAGAGAAACTTATGAATTAAGTTTCAATTGATCAATTTTGAAACAGTTATGAGATCAAATTAATAAAAATACCTTTCTCAAACCATGACTGATCTTCATGTAGTTCAGCAATGTTAGTTATAAATTTAATAGCCTTTGATCTTAATTGATCAAAAGGATGAGACATGTCATTTATGATATGAATATCAAGATTATTCACTGATACTGATGGCAAAATTCCACTAACAGCATCTGCCACTGCATGAAAACAACTATTTAATAATATATATATATATATATATATATATATAAATAAATATGAAAGAAAGTCATATAATTCAGACAAATCCAAATAAAGCAAAACAATAATAATATTACTAATTTTATTTACCTTAATAATGATTTTAGATTGTTTGGTATTCCTTCACCTTCGCCATTACCACTTTTTGATTTTATATCTATTGGTGGCACCTCTTGTGAAACATTAACCTTTGATAACATCTCCATATCAGTTAAGAAGTGACTCATTAGATCATATGCAAAATTTAATTGCCTTAACCAAATAGGTCTTAATCTTTTGAAAGTGTCTATGTAATAATTTGCAATATAAAATTTTAAAAATATTGCTAATAATACCAAGAAATTAATTATTATCATATAATTAATACAATGAAGATTAATTTACCTGCAATAAGATTATTTAAAACATCCGAAATTGAAGCATCAATATACCAACCAACCAATAAATCTATAATGTCCTTTGAAATCAGATTTTATAAGATTTTGCTAATGTGTAATCAATAATGAAAATGTATGTTTTATTCTTTTTCATATTAATATATATACTTGGAATCTTTCACCAAATTCAGTTGGATATTTTTCAGCTATTTTTTCCAATACGTCCAGGATTCCAGGGAAACAATCTGCACTATCCATAGAATCCAATAAACTTTCAAGATCATGAATAAGTCCAGCAATAGAAGGCTGTAATATTCCATATGAATTTCTAGAAAAAACCTAATTTTAAATTATGGTGTTTATTTGATATCCAAATAAAATAAAACTTTATTGAAAATTATAAATGATAATATATACCTCTCTTAAAGATAATAATATCCAGGATTTACGATCTTTATCTTTTTCCTTGGTACTAGCTGTTGAAGTTTGTAAATGTTCAAATACCCAGCGAAAATAAAATCCAATATCATTACCCAAATTAACTGCTATTTGAGCAAAACATTTAGCAACAGTTGTTTTATATGATAAAGGTGCTCTATATATAAACATATTTAATAGAATTAGACATTATCATCATATTACTTGTATTAAAGATAAAATTCAAATGTGGATTCAAAAAATACCTGGAATCTTCAAATATTGACTCGAACCCAGATAACCCACCAAAAGATTCTCTTGTCACAAAATCAAATATTTGGTTTGCTTCCCAGGCAGAGCATGATTCACTTAGTGTAGATAACAGCTGGTTGATATTTGTCTGACGTCTAGTGTATACAGGATCTGTGTCTTCAAATAGTCTTGAAAATGATGTGTTTATCCGTGATACTTTTGCAGAATCTAGTAATAAAACTCTAGTTTTTCATTTCTGTAGACCATAATATACAGTGTAAATAAACCAATGTTACAATTAATGATACCTTGAACATTTTGCTGTGAATGATGAATTTGGTGATAGTACTGTCTATGTTGATAATTTGGACGTCTTCTATAACGATTTCGATGTCCACTCATTAATGTTAATTATAATTTTATGAAGAAATGTTTAGAATTTCTTCGCTGTTGAAAGATTGCAATTTGTATCACACCAATTGTTGATTACTAGGGTTCCCAAATTACTATTGGACATTTGTTTGGGACTAATGTAGATCAAAACTAATTAACATCATATTATTAACTACCACAAATTTGTCACCTGGTTGTGAGAATTTTCATCATATTTAATTAGTCCCTACGATAACTAACTTGTTGATTTCAAAAATCTCCACTCCAGCAATGAAGAAAGTTCTAAACAAATTACTTCATTTTCCGGATCAGCAGTTAAAGGAGGACAGGTAAGTGAGCATCAATGTAAAACACTTAAAATACTTCAATATCTGCTAGTGTTTATTTGTATGAATTTTCAGTTTACCTTATAAAATTGGCTCAAATATAACAATAAAAGAATACAATAAATTCCTTGAACATCAAGAGTCTTCTGGATATAAATATCAATGAAGAGATAATGGTGACATATTTATAATTGACATGAGCAATCCCAAACATGGTTTAGTTGGTTTGTTGTTGCAATGTCATTTCAATGCTCCCAATGCCAACTTCGATTATGACCCCCCAATAATCATTGGTACTGATGAATGTAAGTAATTTTTTTAACTTATTTGACTTTTTGATCCATAATTATCCTTCGAAATTAATACCTTTCCTCAGTTCATTTTAGTCCATCTGGAAATGACCAATTAATTGCATTGGATGTTATGGTATGTCCAAATGCAAGTTATGTCTAACAGCCTTGTATTCCATATCCAGGCCCTCCCCAGGAAACAGAAATGTACGTATTTTTATTTTTTACGCATGAACATATTTGTCATTTGATTTTCAAAGTTAATATTTTCAACATAGGGTTGGCCACATGTGCGAATCATTTGTGAAGTAGGCAATGGTCAATCCACTAAAGAATGGAATGACAAGTGCTAACTATGGATGAATCAAATTTACATACAATATGTACTTGGAATTAAATTACACAAAAAAAGAAATAGAAAAAATGATCTTGGGCAATATCATAGATCTATGATGGCTAGATTGTGGCAACAGGGAGTGGGGTACCAGGAGGTATGAAGCAAGTCTGTAATTTATATTTTAATAGTTAAATAATCTAACAACTTTTAAATACTTTTAGTAGCAGTTTGGAACCCTTATTTAAAAAAACAAACTCCTACTACCTGTAATGCACCCAACCTCCCTCAATATCAAGCCATTATCCCAATTGCACAAGTCTTTTGGGATCCAGTACTTCCACTTCCACCTGCAGTTGAGTACATACATACCAGCTGTTCCTAATCCTCTTGCAACTGAAACTGCGCCTGTTAATTTTATTATTGATCTGTATCAAGTTCAACAACTAGTTTTAAGTGGACAAGATAATGCATAACCTTTTTTATTCTTTTATTCTGTATTTGCACATTATTTGAAATCAAGAATAGTAGTTATTATATTGACTTTGTGGCACGCATTGTGATCCTGATGTTTTGCACTTTTATATATAGTATTATCTAGGGGTATGGGGGGACAACTCAATGTAACACATATAGATTTGTCAATTTCAAAACTGTCACCCTATATGAAATTCATAGTGTTTATTAGTAAATAAAAAT